ACTACCACTACTGCCACTACCACTCTCGCTACTACAACTCCTCTTCCTCCTCCTGCTGCTGCTCGGTAAGTAGAGCAACTTTTTGTTATTCATGATTCAGCACCACGGTTTTTGTGACGAAGACTGTTGACCCAATTCGCTTGCGCATGCAAGCTGACTCTCCAACTCGTGCGCAAAAATCAAGGGTGGCACAACAAACATCGAACCCAGGACCACCGCTAGCCATTCAACCCGAGCCGTTCCAGGTGGTATATTGTCGAGTACTTCGTATACCAGCTGCTTGCCTGTTGTTGCACATCTGCAGTACCACACACTTCAGCGTGCGAATGGAGGAGCACGGGCGAGATCAGACTCCAAGTCTAATTCGGGTTTGGGAATCTTGGATTGAGATTTCGACGAAGGGCGATACTTTCCTGGCGTTTTGACTCTGGTTCACCACAAATCTGTCTTAATAAGGTCCTCAAACATGATTGCAAGCTCTGCTTCCCAACGTCGTGAGGGGGATCAGCATATGTCCCAGGTTCTCAGAGCTCATTGTGTCCAAGGCCGCAGTGAATGCATCGCTGACTGCTGCAAGAGTGCCTGTGCTTGATTCTCTTGCTTCGAATGTTGGGAGATCGCTCTATCTCGTAAGAAAGAGGTTCGATTGGGCGAGCACGTGGGAAGGACGACAGCAACAGCAGAAGGAGCAGTAGCAAGATGTGGCAAGTGTAGGACAGTGTGGGATGAACGGTCTTGATCCCAGGCTGTTCTGGCAAGCCAGTGCGATGCGGAAGCGATCTTGGATGACGCACTTTGGCTCCAACGGTCATTGGGGTTTGGGTGTTCGCCTTGATTGTTGGGCGTGAATTTATATTATCCGAGACTTTAGCTTCTTCTTCCGTGTTTTCAGTTCGCCTCCCTGGTGATGACAGAAAATCCAACCGCGCAACATGCACGTATGTACCTATGTATTCAGGCAGGCAGGCAGCCAGCCAAGCATGTATGAAGGTATGCATTTATTCATACATGTTCCTACGGTATCAGAGAACTCTCTCACTCTCAGGACCTGATCTTTCAGAATCCGTCCCTGAAGACGGCACACTTCCTGGGAGCCAGCCTGGAGAAGTTGCGGGACAGGCCAGGAACTTCAAGTCCGGTGGAGGATCTGAAAGTCGGACCCCCTACACTCTTGAACCGGAAGAGTCCGGACGGGAGCGAAATCACACCACTCCGCGGGCTGTCGTCTATACTCATGTCCGTCCGACTAAGAATGAGGCAGTGAGGCAGCCATTGTTTTGGCCTGATTGCTGTCCCTAAACCCTAAACCCTAAACCGCCTTGTGTGTGAGGTCTTTTTTGGATTTCGTCTCTGTCACTGACAAGGACAGCTGGCAAAGCTTCGAGATTGGGATCAGCATGGCCAGCACAGTATGGGCGTCGCTTGTATTTGGGGCCCCAAAACCCTATTCTAATCATTAAGGCCCCTACATTACCGTTTGCAGATGGTGGCCTTCAGGAGTTGATGATGGGTTTTTGGGCTCGCAGGTTTCGTCCTGGGCCTTGTAGCTTTTGAGTGGGTTTAGGCTCTGAATTTTGAGGTGTTGTTGTTTGCAGGCTGTGGGTTTTGTGTTTAGGGTTTAGGGTGTAGGTTGAATTTGGGGGTGGGGGCGGCGGTTGGACCTCGAAAACGGTTTCCGAAGCCCTGCGTTACTGCTGAAGCCCTGCTGTCTATGGTTCGGACATGCCCTGCGGTCAGGAGCGATTCCAGCAGTTCGTTTCTCTTTCGGTGCCCTGTCAGCTTATTGTGGGTTTGAGTTTATGGTGTTCAGAGTTCAGGGCTCATGGATTTGAAGTTTTAAGGGTTTGGGATGCGAATAGATATATGCCTTATCGCCTTCTCTTTCTTGCTCCTAAATGATTGTTGCACTTCCATGGCGGAGCCTGTAGACTCCCACTGCGCACCCTGAACCCTAGAGTTCAATAACACCCCCACGATCCCTAAACCCCATGCAAACCCGATCATAAGCCCCAAACCCTGAACACCCAACCCAAGCTAGACACCCAAAGCCCAACTCCCCCACAGTGGGTTTGGCCAGTCGCCGGCACAGTTGCGCCGAAACCCGGCACCTATAATTAATAGCTTTGCTGCTTAGAAGCCAGTGTGGCCAAAACTTTACACCCAAGCCTGAAAACATTCCTGAAGAAATCTTTAAGCCCATGACGACCCCCTTTCCCCAAAGCAGAAAGAAGCCTTAAAGCAAAGCTGCCCCGTGAAACAAGCCTCAAATGTCTAAACCCTAAACCCTAACCTAACCCCTAAACCCTAACCCTTAACCCCTAGGCCACCCCAGGTGAAGGCACTCCAAGAGCAAGAGCTTGTTCCGGCCGCCGCTTCCTCGCTCTCAGTGACGCTTCTGCCCCGGGGCAGATCCCTGGAGGGTTCTGGGGAGTTTCCTACATTGTTGCTACCATTTCGGGGCTTCGTTATTATAATTATAGGCTTAATATAAGGGCCTTTATAATTAGAATAGGGTTTGGGGGGTTCCTTACTATGATTATAGTATTAATGGGCCGGACAACCCTATTCTAAATTTTAAGGCCCCTACATTAGTCTTCACGGAAGTTTAGGGTGCAGTGGACCGACGGAGCAGAACCTACGCTTTCAACTGATATCAAGGACTGAAGAAAGAGCTAGTCACTATCGTGCCTTCCTCTACCATCCGAAAGGTAGCAGCAAACCAAGCAGCAAGCGCAGGCTAGTGCTGTCAGGCTGGAGCAGTTTCAACGGTTTAGTGCGCAGGTATTGACGGTCGTGAGCATGACAGCATGAGCCGCAGGAATTCCGATACATCACGGCGGGATTACTTATTAAGAAGAAGCACAGGACAAATCATGTCAAATCATGGTGGTAGTGGTGCTTCTCAGCCTAAACCCTAAGCGGCCCGAAGCCAAACTGCCCGGCGTCAGCGACTTTTTCAGGCTCCCAGGCGGCCGTAACTTGGAAGCATCTTCGCCTGGTGGCACCTGCCTATGCCTATGCCCTGCAGTACGACACTGGTCTTCTGCACCCAAACTCAGAAGCTGATATAACTTAGTTCTCTCGGCTTAACGATGCGAAGCATACAACCGCATATATCACTGTAGGGACGACAGCGCAAGGTGCAAAACAAGCATCGTACTACTTATCAAGGATCTTTGAGCACGGCCTGCCATCCTACAATGGCTTCTGTGTGACATGGTCCGTCTTCGGCTTGCCGTGCTCAGGCCGCCGTGAGATCCAAGTATACCTCAGCAGTATGCCGAACGACTTCAAAGAGGCCTGGTTAGGAAGTTCACATTGGACTGGGAGGGAGTTCTCCCTCATCCAAAGCTCCGGAAACCGCCGGAAACCCTAGGCCTCACCGCGAAACACTGACCCTAAACCCTGAGTGCGAATCTTCCTCAGGGAGGACCCTGCCACCTCCTCGCCATGAACGAGACTCGCGAGCAGCCCGAGGAGACCACTCTCCATGCTGGTGGCTTTTGCAATGAACTTCAGGGTTTAAGGTTTCAGGGACGCGCTGTTTCGTTTGGAGCTTGAAGGCTTCGAAGTTCTTTTCTTTCGAAGCTAGATCTTGGGATGAAAGGTGCATCGGCTGAGTCAGTTTGCCAGCCCTTCCACAAGAGATCTTCTGACACCGCAAAAAATGGGGGGGTTTCCGAACGAGCTTCATTGCAAGCACCCTTAGAGCCCTAGAGACGAAGGATTCCCCCCGAAACCCCTGCGCTGCAACGCCGAGACCCCCTGGGATCCTGAAGCCACAGATCGAAACCCTCCGACTGTAGCATTACCATTAGTATTGCTATTGGTATTAATATTAGCAAGGGTTTAGGATGTGCACCCCTTCCTTTCTTCTCGAAGGAGTCTGAAGGTCAGGAAAGTCTGGACCAGGCCCGCAGAGGATTTGGAGTTTCGGGTGCTTTGAGTCAGGGGGCTTTCATTGTCCCGGGTATGGGCTTTTGAGGTCGTGCTCTTTCGCCTAAACCCTAAACCCTAAAACCCTAAAACCCTAAACCCTAAACCCTCTTTCGGTATTCACTCTCTTCTTGGGTCGCCTCTTCTGCAAAAAAGGGCCTCATGGGAGTCGCTGGTGCAGGTCGAGGAGCTTCGTGACACTTCGTCGTTGAGGACCAAGGCAGCTTGCAGGATTCATCGTGATTTAATATGATTTAGCCTCCGTGTGCCTTTCTCCTTTAAAGTTTGCAGGCGGGCTGGGGCTGCCTGATAAGAAGTCTGAGCACGTCTTAAGATCAGTTCTGCTTTCACAACAGTACTTCAAACATTGGGACATGCTGCTACATACGCCAAGGCACGAGAATATATTGCGCGGTGGTACAGCAGAGTTCTGACTGAACCATTCAGCTATGACTGCTTGGTAGAATCATCGTAACAGTGCGCCACCAGCAACAGCAACAGCAGCCACGAGAAGAACGCAAACAGCCGCTGGCACCACCACAACAACGGAAAATAACGACCGCCAACGACGACAACATCATCTGCAGCGGCTGCAACAGCGGCAGAGCAGCAGCGACAGTAATTAGTGTGAAGAGTATTTGACTTCGAACAGCCCGAATAAGGGCCCACATAAACACACAGGGAGAGCACCGACATTTTGTGTGTGTATGTGTGAGTACGATGTGTATATATATATATATATATATGAGAGAGAGAGAGAGAGAGAGCTGGAGGCCTTTGGGGTCTATTTTACGCACCGCCCAGACAGTTTAAGCAAGAGGTTCAGCAAATAAGTATATAAACTAAATAATCTAAATCGGCAAACCCAGTTTTGATTATTAACTTGTTTTCTGCTGATTTAACTGTTCGAAATGAATAAACAAATACACAAAAACAAAATACTCATATTGGTTGTTGGTGATTGTGATTATTGTGTTTTTTTGGTTTGTTTAATTCTGAAGGCCGGACCAGTTTCCCAGGAAATTAAAGTATTTTGCTGATTTTGTTTATTTGGCTTATTTTGTTTATTTCTTTCAATTAATTGGTTAAATACACTAAATAAACAAAATCTGCCAAAAAAACATTGTTGATTATTTAATTACTTTCTGCTGATCTAATTAAATAAGCAAAATAAACAAAATACATTTAATTGTGCGGGAAACTGGTCCGGCCTTCAGAATTAAATAAACAAAAACGCAAAATATTCCAATTGTTTTTTGGTGATGCGATTATTTTGTTTTTTAGTTTTTCTAATTCTGAAGGCCGGACCCGTTTCCCAGGCAATTAAATGTAGTTTGCTTAGTTTGTTTATTTGTTTTTGTGATTATTTAATTCAATTACTTAAATAAACTACATAAACAAAATCGGCAAACCCAGTTTTGATTATTTAACTATTTCTGCTGATTTCATGAAATAAACAGAATAAACAAAATACACAAAATAAATTCAACAGCTGCCAAACTCCTCCCCTCCCTCCTCCCCTCCCCTCCCCTCCCTCCTCCCCTTCCCCTGCTCCCGTAGAAGGCTGCCGAGGTGACGGTCCCGCCGAAGGCGGTGCCGAAACTCCCGCGTAAAGCCGTGTCGAAGGCCCCGCCCAAGGCGGCGCCGAAGGTCCTGCCCAAGGCCGTGCCGGACGTTGCGCCTAAGGCAGCACCGAAGCTTCCGTCGAAGGCGGTGGCAAAGGCAAAGCGGGAGCGGCCAGGGTCCGGGGCCGAATGGCTGCCCGGGCTATGCGGACTCGGACCCGTTGTTGTGTGAGGCCTGTGACCAGCTCCTACGTGGTCTTGAAATGCAGAGCAAGGCGCACCGTCCGAACTGCGAGCACCGTGAGAGGGCAGTGGGAGGGGGCGCCACACGGGCAAGCTAGCTGGGACGAGACTGCGAATCGCCGCGACAGAAATGCTCTGCACATGCACAGGTATATAGGCAGCTTTGCATGTGCAACGGCTGGTTGTTGTGGTTTCCCTGCATCGTTTGTTGGTGTGTACACATGGAGCAGTCCAGAATGCCAGGTGCACAGAGGACCGAGTGGACGAAAGCCCGCCCGGAGGCTGAGGAAGATTCCCGAGTGGAAGGGTCCCTGCAAAAGCGCGATGTAGCTTGCGCAAAACTTAGGTGGTACAATTTTGTATAGAAGAGGTGTATTCACCCGCTAGGTGTGCTTCTGTGTGGGATTGGGGAGCAATTGCGCGACTGCCCTGAGCAGATGTAAGAGGGAGTTGACAGCCAGGATAGCTATTCTTGATATCCTTGTTGGACTTGACCCAGATCTTCCAAAAGACTCTT